CAGTCATCCATCCATGTAGGCAACTGGTTGTAACTCCTTTGTAAACAGGCTGTAACATGCCGCAGATACTTGGCTTTGTGTGCCGAGATTATCATGACAACTTCGTCGACTCCGGCTCCAGCTGGATTTCAAATCGAATTTATTTTTGTTGTTTGTTTGTGTGTGCGATGTACCATAGAGGGTTATTATATTTTGATTTGATTTTTATTTCCATCAACATTTCGAATTGAATACAACCATTTATGGTTTGTTGCTGTTGTTTGCATGCATGAATGTTGTGTGTCGTGTCAAACAAACCTGGGGAGGGAGGAGAAGGCCTTTAAAAGACAGTGGTTGGAAGGTAACAAAAAGAGAAAAAAATGATACGGAATTAAATGCATAGAAACCTTCCCTATTTAAAAACAATTCTGTAAGAAATATTTATCGGAATTCTATAAGAAGTCTCTATCAGAATCCCACAAAAATTCTCTGATAGAATTCTGACTTAGGGAAGCTTTATTCTATTAAATGACTTTATAGGAAATTATAGGAAGCATCTTTCAGAATGAAAATAAAAAGTATCTCTCCTCTCTCTCTCCCTCTTCCAAACACCATAAGAATTTCATGAGATCCAGACAGTATCTGTTTCTGAAACAACCAATTTTGCTCTAGAAAGGCTCTAGGAGCAACTGAAACCTCCTAACATTGTTTCTAACACTTTAAATAAAATAAGAAAATGTGTCTGTAAACTCTGAAAAACCTAGGAGGCCATATACTCCAAACTGGCTTGTTTCAGAGGCAAAATAATGTAGAGTGGGCTCAGAGGTCAGCTACCGTTGAAAAAATAGGTTTGCTGATCTTATCTCTACATGAGGTCCTTTCTAAGGCTAGCTACTCTTTGCTAAGGTTCCGCCAATAAACTTGTGAAGTCATTTTTAGAAAATCTAATATACAGTATTGTCGAGGTCAGGAGTTAGGCTTAAAATTTTTCAAAATTTCCCTCCAACAAAAAGTCAATCAAAAGTCGAATTTGGATTTTTCCCTCCCAATTTAATCTTAAATAGAATCTATATCAATTTTAGATTTTTCGGAAAGGATTTTCAAACTCATTTCAGAAGAGACCAGTTTTGTTAAAGCAAAACTTTTCGACCAGTCGAGATTCCGCATTCATCTAAAAGTCGATTTTCGACTTTTGACTTCCAAATCAAAGTCGATTAAGTTTATATAAACACTAAGATTAAAAGTAAAAAGAAGGGATTTTTAAAGCACCCATTAAGACATCGAAATATGAAAAATGGGCCAAATGTCTACGAGGCAAAGTCGAAAATCGACTTCTTCTAAAATCGATTTTTGATTTTCACCCACAATTCAGACCGACTAATTTTAAAAAGTCGATTTTCGTCTTTTGATCACCATCTCAAAGTCGACTAAAATTTTAACATTTTCGGAAACACTTTTTGAATTGCGAATTAGAAGTAATCTATTAACGAAGGACACATTGAAGCATCGGAATATGAAAAATTGACAGAAAATCTATAATTAAAAATTCGAAAATGTATTTTGAAAAAAGTCGATTTTCGACTTTTGCCTTCCAAATAAAAGTTAATTAAATGTATATAGACTTTAAGATAAAATTAAAAGAATGATTTTATTAAGACATCGGATTATGAAAAATGTATCAAAAGTCTATGAGGTAAAGTCGAAAATTGATTTAAAAAAAGTTGACTTTTCGACTTTTGACCCTCATCTCTGACAAACTAAAAATTTAAATATTTTGGAAGAACTTATTAAATAGCGCATTCGAAGCCACCTCTTAAAGAAGAGCCTATTTAAGCATCAGAATATAAAAAATGGAAAGAAAAGCTTTTATTCTAATTCGAAAACCGATTTAAAAAAGTCGATTTTCGACTTTTGATTCTCAACTCGGGCCGACTAAAATTGTAATTTTTTTGGAAGGACTTATTGAAAAGCACATTACAAATCAACGATTAAATAATGTCCTATTAAAGCATCGGAATATGAAAAATTGGTCACAAATCTAAAGCATATCCGAAAATCGATTTTGAAAAAAATCGATTTTCCACTTTTGACAAAGTCGACTAAAATATTAAATATTTGGGAAGAACTTATTGAAAAGCATAATACAAATCACATATTAAAAAAAGTCCTACTTAAGCATCGGAATATGAAAAATTGGTCACAAATCTGAAGCAAATTCGAAAATCAATATTAAAAAAGTCGATTTTCGGCTTTTGACCCCAAACTCAAAGTCGACTAAAATTTTAAAAATATTTTGGAACGACTTATTTAAAGGCACATTAAAATCCACGTCTTTTGCTTTCAACAGATATGTCAATTTTTCGGCCTTTGTTTTTCGATTTTTATCAACCAACACAAAGTCGACTAAAATCGATAGGAATTTTAGATTTTTAAGAAGGACTTATAAAAGGCACAATAGTAGCCACTACTTTTGGTGTCAACAAAAATTTAGACTCTTGAGCCTATCGATGGTCTCCGTCTACTTAAAGTCATTATAAAAGTCAAATTTCTACCTTACAAGTAACGACAATAAATTTTCTGCATTGCGAGGAGGTCAAAAAATAGCAACAACTAATTTTATGCTAGTATTCTTTTGTAAAATAAATTTAAAGGCAATTTGCTGAAAGAAAAATAAATCCAAGAGAATTTTGTCACAAATGTCACCCACGATAGGGTTTCAACTCTTCTAGCTGAGAAATATTCGAAGTATCGAACCAAAGCGTTCAAATAACTTTCACAGTTTTCCTAATCTCTTACAGCGAAATTCGTTAATATTAATTGTTCCGATGACCCCGAAACTCTGAGGGAAATCTGCCGGCCTTCTGATAGAGATGTAATGTAAATGTTAAACCGATATTGGTGTGATTTCTTTTACAGACTTCTGCTTTAGATTTTTTGGACTTGTTTAAACCTATATTACAGGCTCAATTTCCTTAAAAAATCTGTTTTCGAAGTTTTTCGCAACTTTTAAGAAATTATTTTTATGTGCAGGAATTTTCACTTACCTGCCACAATATGTTTTGCACAGATTTTGTGGCAAATATGACAAAAATTATTGCTAAACGTATAATACTTGAAGAGCTTTCTTTAAAGATATCTGTTTTCGAAGTTGTTGCCAAATTTTAAGAAAATATTTTTATGTGTAGGAATTTTCACTTACCTGCCACAATATATTTTCCAAATATATTTTGTGACATATATGACAAAAATGGTTGCTAAACGTATACTACTTAAAGAGCTTGCATTAAAGAAATCTCTTTTTTGAAGTTTTAGCCAAATTTTAAGAAAATATTTTTATGTGCAAGAATTTTCACTTAGCTGCCACAATACATTTTCCACATATATTTTGTGACATATATGACAAAAATGGTTGCTAAACGTATACTACTTAAAGAGCTTTCTTTAAAGAAATCTCCTTTTCGAAGTTTTTGCGAAATTTTAAGAAAATATTTGTATGTGCAGGAATTTTCACATACCTGGCACAATAAGTTTTCCACATATATTTTGTGGCAGATATGTCAAAAATGGTTGAATAATGAATAATACTTAAAGAGCGCAGGTTTTAACTAAGAGCCCAAGATTTGAGCCCAGGCTCAAATTCCTTAAAGAAATCTATTTTCGAGGTTTTTCGCCAATTTTAAGAAATTATTTTTATGTGCAGTTATATTCACTTACCTGCCACAAAATGATTTTCACACCTTTTGTGGTAGATGTGGCAAAAATGGTTGCTAAACGTATAATACTGAAGAGCTTTCTTTAAAGGAATCTCTTTTTCGAAGTATTTGGCAATTTTTTAAGAAAATATTTGTAAGTGCAGGAATTTTCACATACCTGCCACAATAGGTTTTGCACACATTTTTTGGCATATATGGCAAAAATGGTTGCTAAATAAATAATAGTTGAAGAGCTTTCTTTTTAAGAAGTCAACCACAAAGGCATTTCAAAAATAGGCAACATTTTTCACTTAGCTGCCACAAAATGTGCTGAAAATAACAAGAAAAATGGCTGTTAAATCAAAAATAGTTATGGAGCTTCATTCGATATCAAATATAGAACCGCTGAGGAACTTTTTATAGACACTCAAATGAATACTCCTATTGACGTGTCCTCGTTCCGAATATGTTTTGCACGTATTTTGTGGCAGATATGTCAAAAATGGTTGCTAAATAAATAATACATGTAGAGCTTTCTTTTTAAGAAGTCAATTTCAAAAGCATTACAAAAATAGGCAATACTTTTCATTTAGCTGCCACAAAATGTTCTGAAAATAACAAGAAAAATGGCTGTTAAATCAAAAATTGTTATGGAGCTTCATAAGTTTTCAAATATAAAATTGCTGAGGAACTTTTTATAGACATTCAAATGAATACTCTTACCGACGTCCCCTGGTTCTGAATTCAATTTTTTTTTTTATATTTTTATTGCAGAGATGGGAAGACATATATATTTAAAATTTCTTCAACTTCATAGAGATTTTACATTTCTGACATAGCCAAAGGTCCCTTATGAATCCCCTATCTGTTTCAATACCCCCCAAAAATAAAATCATATCCAAGTCATTGCATTGTATCGAGTATTTGTTGCAAACCTAGCTTTGAAAATCTCATCGAACAAATGAACCAAACAGCCAACCAGGCAGGCCATCAAACCAGCCAACTGATTTTATTTTCTCAAACAAGCTGAGCGCCAACTGTCTGTTGTAGTTGCTTGAGAAAAACACAACAACAAGAGCTTTTAAATATTATTGAAAAAAAAAAAAAAAGAATTGACAACAACTCTGTTGCTGTCTTTATTATTATTATTGTTGTCTGGCAGTCGGTCGTCAGTCGACCAAACAACCAACCCAGCCAGCCAACCAGGGTACAATTCATTTCATAGTTATTGTTTTGATCGTCTCCACGGTGTCGCACTAAGCGTTGAGCAGTCAATGCGTAAACAACACTTTTTTTCTGACGTTCCGAAACCGATACACAACAAAAATTGAAGAGAAACGGATCGTAAACGGGCCGGGATTAGATGAAAATCGAGTTGATTTAATTTCGCACGTGAATTAAAAACAAAAAATTTAAAACGTCTTATTCGCAACGCGTTGTGAAGTGACAAAACCAAGTTTTCATAAAAGTAAAGTAATATTTTTTTTTATTTTGAACAAAATTAATTATAGATTCAAAATAAATTTTAAAATTCAAAGGCAAAATTGAAAAAAAATATATAAAACAATATTTTCACTAATTGAAAACATCACGCCTGGCGTCCCTGCCGATGTAACAAATTACATCTGGACACGTTATTTGCCGAAGAAATAAATGCTTGTGTTTTCTTTTTAATTAATTGCTCCAACACCATAAATTATTTAAACAAATGGCATTAGTTAATTGAAATCCAAAAAAGAAGATTGATAATTAAATTAAAAATATTATTTTTGTGTTATAATAAATTGCTTTGAGTTCTGGTCACTGAATTTCGGTTGCACTACAATTTAATTAAAAATTAAATGAATGCATGAAAAAAAAATATTGTGTCTGATGAACTTGACGCTCAAAATTGATAATCTCTATTTAAAAAATAAAAAATAATAATAATTGAGAAAAATATATATCGAAGGACCAAATGTGTTACAGAGATAAATCACATGTACTCATCTGATTTGTTTGATTATTCCATCAGTATTTGATATTGAATATTTTCTGGGGTACTTTAAAAGTGAAAAAATATTCACATCGAAGGACCAAAATTCTTTCACAAAAAAATCGGTCAGCTATACTATAGCTGACTTTTAAATTTGTACATTAAAAATCTTCAAAATTAAAAAAAAACAAAAAAAACAGAAAGCAGAAACTTTAAAAAGAGCCTCATCTTTGTAATTCTTGAAAAAAACTATCTCCGACATTCATAAGAAAATCTAATGGAAATCGGAAATGAAAAATATTCACATCGAAGGACCATAAATTCTTTCACAAAAAATTGTTCAAATATCCTATAGCTTTTTATATTTTTCTAACTTTTAAATTTGCGAATTATAAATCTTCTTAATATTTGAAAAAAATTCACAAACATTTTTGAAGGAGCCTCATCTTTGTAATTCTTGAAAAAAGGACTATCTCCGACATTCATAAGAAATTCCAATGGAAATCTGGAAATCATTTTCGAAGATTTCCTTTCAAAATAATGCATATGAGAACTTACTTCGGATAGCCTAGAGATTGTCTCCTCAGATTTGTTGTGCAATGCATCAGCATTGTGCATTGAAAATTGTCCCAAAACTTTGAAGTGACAAATTCTTACATCAAAGGACCAAAGTTAAGTTCTGCAAACTATAAAAATAGATATCTTCGGAATTTTGGAAAAAATATTACACAGAGTTTTAGAGGCAGACTCTGCTACATAATTCCTGGAAAAAGACAACTTCAGATATTCATAAGAAATTCTGGTGGAAATCGGAAATCATACCTGAAGAGTTTCTGTGAGAGAAATGTGTACGAAAGCTCACTTAGGATAGCCTAGAGACTGTCTCTTTTTAAAGGACCCAGATTTGTAAATTGAATTCTGACTGGATACTTTGAACAATACTCACACCGAAGGACCAAAATATTTTCAACTAAACTCACCTGCCGTGACGCTTAAAGGTTCCTTTTTAAAATATTTGTCAAATAATTTTAGAATTAAAAAAAATAACACAGATCTTTATAACTACTTTCGACTATAAAATTCTTGAAAAAATACTTCCTCAGATATTCATAAGAAATTCTGATGGAAATCGGAAATCAGTTCTGAAGATTTGTTTCCTATTTTTTCTAAGAAATCCTGCAAAATTCTTGAAAAAAAGTCTACCTCAGACATTCATAAGAAATTCTGTTGGGAATCGAAAATCATATCGGTATCAGATCTTTAGAATTTTTTTATAAAAAGTTTCAGTCCTATAAGGGCAAGGAAAAATCCTTCCAGGAAATCTTTAGATAAAAAATCTAAAAAATTATTTTCAATAAAAAATACTCCTCGGATTTCGTAAACAATTCTACAAGAACTTTTGAGATTTATTTTATTTACTAATCAAAACTAAATTCCAACTTGATACCTTTCTATAGGAATCAAATCTCCCTAACCTATTTTTCATACAATTTCGAAACATTTTTTTTAAATTCCAAATAATACAATAAGAATACACTCCCAATTTTTCAAAAGCCATACAAAATTGTTTCATATAAAAAAATTTTCAAATATTCCACTAAAAATTCCTGCTAATCTATGGGAGGCCAAGGAAACCACGCACCATTTTACCTTAGAATTTCAAAAAATAAAGAAAAAATCCCCAAATGATTGATATAAAATGAGGAAGGGGGAACGGTGATGACGATGATGATGCACAAATGGAAATTTATGTGTGGCGGCTAATTATTCGAATACTAATGTGGCCCATATCTAGAAGAAGTCACACATTTAACATAATGACAGCTACTTGAACAGAACACAGATTTGTTCTCCACTCTGTCTCTCTCGTCTTCTTACACAATGTGCCCCCTCTTCTCATCACATACAGCACATTCCCAGTTCTGATGAATGTCTGTCTGCCTTCCCGCCGTTCTATGAACAACAAATGACCAACAGGCCGCCAACCAATCGATCGATCCACCATCAATACAAAATTAGATGAATCATCTCAAAATCATGTAGCTTCTTCCCATCCCATGACAAATTGTTGGGAAAAAGACACCCATCATCATCGTCGTCATTGGGTTTTGTTGCCTAAATTTAATGGATGAATTGATAGGAACTCAACATAGAGTCGGACAGACGGACAGACAATCAAATATTCAGTCACACCATCTTGGGTCCTGCCCCGAAAAAAAAACCATTAAGAAAGCCAAGCATCGAAATGATTAAGACTTGCAGGTTCTTACCACTTCACTTTGTGTGGTTGTGAGTCCGTCTGTCTGTCTTTCGGTGTGTGTTCATAACTCACTAAAATATGCTCGTATTCATAATGAAGTTAATTGAAGATCATTATCTTTGGACTTTTCCATTTATTTGAGAGGCAGAACAATGTAAAAAGTGTTGAATCAGTTGATATTGACCCCCACGAGTAACAAAATGCCGAACAGCTGTGTCAAAAATTGAGAAGAAAAAATGTTTTCTGTATTCCTTTAATTGAGGAGAATAAGCCAAAGAGACAAAGGTGTTATAGGCCGACAAATTAGTACCCTACACTTTAAAAGAGGAAGAATAGTGCCTCTCTTCTATAGATAGAAGGGTGTCTCTCTTTTACAGATAGAAGAGCTCTCTCTTCTATAGATAGAAGAGTACCTCTTTTCTATAGATAGAAGAGTGCCTCTCTTCTATAGATAGAAGAGTGTCTGTCTTCTATGGATAGAAGAGTGTCTCTCTTCTATGGATAGAAGAGTGTCTCTCTTCTATGGATATAAGAGCTCTCTCTTCTATGGATAGAAGAGTGTCTCTCTTCTATGGATAGAAGAGTGTCTCTCTTCTATGGATAGAAGAGTGTCTCTCTTCTATGGATAGAAGAGCTCTTTCTTCTATAGATAGAAGAGCTATCTCTTCTATAGATAGAGAAGATCTCTCTTCTATAGATAGAAGAGCTCCCTCTTCTCTAGATAGAAGAGCTCCCTCTTCTATAGATAGAAGAGCTCCCTCTTCTATACATAAAAGAGTGTCTCTCTTCTATAGATAGAAGAGCTCCCTCTTCTATACATAAAAGAGTGTCTCTCTTCTATAGATAAAAGAGTGTCACTCTTCTATAGATAGAAGAGCCCTCTCTTCTATAGATAGAAGAGCCCTCTCTTCTATAGATAGAAGAGCCCTCTCTTCTATAGATAGAAGAGCCCTCTCTTCTATAGATAGAAGAGCCCTCTCTTCTATAGATAGAAGAGCCCTCTCTTCTATAGATAGAAGAGCCCTCTCTTCTATAGATAGAAGAGCCCTCTCTTCTATAGATAGAAGAGCCCTCTCTTCTATAGATAGAAGAGCCCTCTCTTCTATAGATAGAAGAGCCCTCTCTTCTATAGATAGAACAGCCCTCTCTTCTATAGATAGAAGAGCTCTCTCTTCTATAGAAAGAAGAGCTCTCTTCTATAGAAAGAAGAGCTCTCTTCTATAGAAAGAAGAGCTCTCTTCTATAGATAGAAGACCTCTCTTCTGTAGATAGAAGAGCTCTCCCGCCCCATCACAGAAAATCTGTAGGTTTTCTGACAGAATATCTATAGATCTTCCCTAGAAGATCTGTAGATCTTCTCAAGAATATCTGTAGATCTCTTCATAGAACATCTGTAGATCTTCATTCTCTGTTCATTTTTAAACCCTTTCATATGAAGCCAATTGATTTTGTATTGAAGAGCGCTTTTAATCCAATTTTTATTTCGCTTTTGAATACTTCCATCTGTTTGCCAGATCATTGATGTTTTTTTCCTGCGTTTCCAATCACCAGATTTATTTATTGATTTTGAATGAGTTTTAATTTTTTTTGTTTGTGGTTTTCGAATTGTTTTTCTTTTCTTTATTTTTATTGGGTCATCTTTTGTTGGCGATTGCGATTCATTGTTTTGGCTGTTCATAACAAAACTTTGCCGGAGGCCAACAAAAATTGGTGGATTTTTTTTTCGAGTTTTTTTTCCTTCTACCTTTGCATAATCAAAAATGCGTATCATTGTAATCAGCGATTGGCAAGTCATAGTTCGTTGAAGGCTTGGGCAAAAAGTGGCGAAAAGGAATTTAAAAAAAATATGAAGATCCTGAATCATGAGGAGGAACCTTAGTGAAGGTTTTTCAGAAGGTTTTTTTAAGGTGGAACTTTTGAGGATGACTCAGGAAATATAAAAAACCATCAAGAAGTGTTAAAAAAATAATTTTCATTTATTCCACATGGGCTAAAATGTCCTGATGGATATATTGAGGAGTCTCGATTTTTTTTCACAAAAATCCTATTGAAATTAAGGGGAAGTCCATACTACTCTGAATTTCCCTGTCTTTCTTCGATAGGTCCATTCATTGCTAAATAATTCTTCTGTTTTAAAAAACAAGTAAATCTAGTGATGAGCCTTATCTTGTGCCTTAAGGAAATCTGTCAGTCTCAAAGCAATTTATTATAGAAAACCGTTGGGTTTATTTTAAATAAAAATTTGTTTTTAATTTGAAATTAATTTACAAAATTCCCAAAATTGTTTCCAAGAAGTAACCATGAAAGCCCTCAGACAATTTTGATGAAAAGTGTTAAGAAAAAGTGAAACCAAGACTTGAAAAATCTTAAAAAAATCTATACCCTGTGAAACTGTGAAAAACTTATTAAACACCCTTGAAAAATGGCTGCCACGTTGCAACATTGCGCCACGGCCACCACAACCCCATCGCCGCTGAAAACGGTGGCCAGCACCTCACCCAATCCCCAGTTGAAACGTTTGGTCTACTCCAAATATCGTGAACTGCTCGGTTCTTACAATGATCAGGCCAATGCCTATATCGATACACTGCCCAGCTATATGGTGCACAAGGATACGGGTTTCAATTTGGAATCCAACCCAAAGACAACATCAACAATTACAACAAATGGCACTACCACCACCATTCATCTGGCTGCCAGCCCTTCATCGTCATCCTCATCGCCATCATCATCGCCCGGGGGAGACAACGATATGTAAGTGCGCAAATCAAACACAAAATTCAAAATCATTTTGATGATGATTGTTTGTTTTTCTTCCCATTTCAATAATAAAATAATTATTATTTGAGATTTGTTGTTGTAGTGAAATATTTCTCAAGAAAATATTTAAAAAGAAATTGTTAATTAAACACCAGCAACAAAAAACACAAATGTGAAATTATTTAATGATCAAAAAGGAATGTTAAAGCTAGAGATAAGAGGAAATTGAGAGATAAATTATTTTGTATTAAAGATAGGCCATATTTCGCAAAATACGCAATAAAACTTGAGGCAAGGTCAGGGGCGTAGCCTAACAAGGTATGGGGATGGGATATGAAATTAAAATACATTTCGAAAGAATTCCGGTTTAAATTTTATTAATTACTTGAAGGAACTACGCCTATAGAAATCAATTTCCCCCTAAAAGAATTAAGCTCATAGACATGGGAGAGCCCTTTAAATCGAGGGATGGAAACGGGATCACAATCCTATAATGCTCCCTTAAAAAATCACATTTACAGTCCTTGAAGCTTAATAAAGTAATATATATGACATTACTTTAAAATTTACTCCCTAAGGACCTCTGATAATTCTATAAAAAATTAGGATTATAAGGACAATGTTAAATGTCCGTAAAGAAGAACAATAATCCCAATAACTTCTCTGAAAAGAAAGACGAAGGAGAGGAGTCTAAGGACCTGTGACGTGGATTTTTTTAAGAATTTTCTAATTTCGATCTTTAGACGCTAGGCCTGGCTTTTTGAAAGATTTTTTAAATTTCGATTTTTAGCCACCTACGCGGATTTAAAAAAAAATAATTGCGATTGATTTTTTAAACAAAATTTTAATTTCGATTTTTAGCCACCTAAGCGTGGAATTTTCAAGAATTTTTTAATGTCGATTTTAAGCCACCTATGCGTGCATTTTTAAACAATTATATAATTTCGATTTTATATAATTTGGCGTGGATTTTTTTTAAGAATTTTTTAATTTCGATTTTTAGCCACCTAAGCGTGGAATTTTTAAAAATTTTTTAATTTCAATTTTTTGCCATCTAAGCGTGAATGTTTAAACAATTACTTAATTTCGATTTTCATCCACGTTGGCTTGGATTTTTTAGAGAATTTTTTAATTTCGATTTTTAGCCACCTAGGCGTGGATTTTTTTTAGGAATTTTTTAATTCCGATTTTTTGCCACCTAGGCTTAGATTTTTTTTAGGAATTTTTTTATTTCGATTTTTTGCCACATAGGCGTGAATTTTTTAAGAATTTTTTAATTTCTATTTTTAGAATTTTTTAATTTCGATTTTTACCCACCTAGGCGTGGATTTTTTAAACAAAATTTTAATTTCAATTTTTAGCCATCTAAGCGTAAATTTTAATTTCAATGTTTAGCCATCTAAGCGTGAATTTTTAAACAATTACTTAATTTCGATTTTCATACACGTTGGCTTGGATTTTTTAGAGAATTTGTTAATTTCGATTTTAAGCCACCTATACGTGAATTTTTAAACAATTATTTAATTTCGATTTTTAGCCACCTAGGCGTGAAATTTTAAACAATTATTTAATTTCGATTTTTAACTACATAAACGTGGATTTTTTTTAAGAATTTTTTAATTTCGATTTTTAGCCTGTACAGCATTGATTGAACGAAAAGAGTCCTTCAACATAAAAAAATTAACGAAATCAAAAAATCCATAAAGAAAATATTCTCAAAGACTTCACGTCCACAAATAACAGAGAATCCTCCAATAAAACAGGTTTACTGATAATCCATAAAATTTTACTTAAAAAAATTCGTCCGTAAGCTTCTGAGTATTTTCCACAAGCTTACTAAAGATCCAAGGTCCTTCAACCTATGAGAATCCTTAAAAAATAAAATTACATTCGTAGCTCCTATTAAACAATTCAAAGCAACCCCGTCCATTGGCATCTAAAATGTATACAATTGTTCCTTGAAGACATTACGTCTGGAAACCACGGGAATCCTTCTATGTTCTTTAAACAAACCATGTCCTTGGATGACTTTATAATCCTTGGAAATTTCCCTAGAAAAACGACCCTTAGGGAACACTTCAAAAATTCCTTAAATGAGTCCTACTCTAGATCTCTGATAATCCTGCACTAAATTTCTTAAAGGTATCATTTTCATAAGTTGTTGGAAACCCCTTCAATTTATTTAGAAGACATTTAAAATTGGCAATTTGAGAATCCTTTAAAAAAACTTTAAAGAAGGAAATACCCTTAAATAATCCTAAAAGAAACTTTGAGAATCCTTCTTTAAAGAAACCTCGTCTATTGACCTCTGAGAATCGCTTAAAAATCCTTAAAGAAATTACTTTCATAAATTTATGAAATAGGTTTAAAAAACTAATCCAACAGTCTTCTGAGATTTCTTCTAACATTACATGAAGGAACTAGATCTTTACAGTCCTGAGGTCACACAAAAATGCCTTAAGGATACCACGTCTACGGATCCCAAATCGTTCTCCAAGCAAAGTCTAAGGACATTTTTTCGAAAAAAAAAAAAAAAAAAAAAATAGGAGACCCTCGAGAACCCATATGAAATACCACAAACAAACCCCTTGTATAGAACCCTGAGGTCCTTGGGAAATAACAAAATCATACTTAAATAATATACTATGTCTAAGGGCTTCTAAGGACACTAGAGAAAATTTTTTTAAAAACATCGCACATAGATCCTTGGAATTCTTCAAAACGCAAAGATCCTTCCGAAATATTTTAAAGGAACCTCATCTATAGTTCCCAAAAGATCTTTCAAGGATCTACGTTTAGGGAACCTTGAGAAACATGGTCCCTGAAAATTCTTTTGAAACGCCTTAAAAAATACTTCTACCAAGCCCTGACGTTCACTTCATCTCTGATTTCCAAAAGATTACATATCAAAAGGTCTGTTTAGAATTCAATAATTTACCATGGTCGTCATTCAATAAGCCTTAAGAAGTCACGTTTTTTATTATCGAATAGTTCCACGAAAAAAAAATAGCCCTATGTGCGTCCTAAAAAAGACCTTTAACAATTCACGGTTTTTATCCTAGGGTAGTCCTTCAAAATATCCTTCCAGAAACAACGTTTATAGATATGTCAAAGGTCTATAAATGTGGTTTCTGGAAAGCTCTTTTGAAGGACTAATCGAGGATAAAAACCATGAATTGTTAAAGGACTTTTTTAGGACCCACATATTTCTGGAAACATCGTATCGTTTAAAGATTTTTTGGAGGCCTATCAGGGGATTATATGTGTGGTTCTTTTATGGATTTATTTTTTTTAGAATTTAGGATTTTTTTTAACGATTTCTCTGATAATATTTCTATGAGAGACCATTTTTTTCCTTTCCCTCATCCCATATCTCCCACCCAATGCTGCGCCTCTGTTTAAATAGAGCAAAAGAATCCATCTGCTTTGTTTGCTGTGGTTGTTATTATTGTTGTTTTTGTTCTTTTTCACATTTTTCGCTATTATTTTGCATCGCACACGACAGGTGAAATGCATTCTTTAAAATTTTCAAACAAAAAAAAAATATAAAAATAAAAATTTAAATAAATAAACAGCTGGTGGATGAGAATAGATAAAATTCTTTTGGAATGTGACTAAATAACGCAGCAGCAGTAGTTGAGGTTGGGCGAATGATGAGTTTGTATTTTGATAAAACGTAGACAAACAACAAGAACAACAGCATGATAATACAACAAGTTGGAAGATAAGTTGTTTGCTAAGCTGTTAAATAGCTTGACAGTGAAATAAAAAAATATATAAAAAACAATGTCATAACTAGAGCTCAGAGAACTATGAGAAAATTTGCGTCGAAAGATGAAGAATGCCAGAAAGGTATTTTTGTTTAGAAAAAAATCAGGAAAGGTCTGTTTTTCTTTTTTTTTTGGGAGATTGGAAATTATCCTCCCTCTGGGGACATTTTAAGAACGATTTCTTTGGAAGACCTGTTGGAGATCTCTTATTTTTAGAAATGTTACCACCCAGGGAATATCCTCAATACATAAGCCATTTAGAAAAGTTTCTATCCTTAGAGGATTTTTGAAAAATCTTTTTTAGTCCTGATTTATACCTGGCGAGTGTACTGGTGGCAATTTTTAGCGCTCCCTTTTGAACGTGCCTCTTGCATTTATACGAGGCAATTTTTTCAGCAAATGTTCTTTTTCATCATTTTTTTCTGCCATTTTTATATCCTCCACCATAGTAGGGGGGGTCTGTCCATCTGCCCGTCTGTGGAAATCCCTCTAGCTTCCGAACGAATTGAAGTATATTGATAAAATTTCACTCAAATGTATATTATGCCTGCAAGTCTTTTGGTATTGAAAATGGGCCATGTAGATCCACGTTTTGGTATAGCCCCCATATAACGGTACCTACTGATATTCGGTATTTTGACGATTTTAGCGATAAATTTCATCAGAATTCTTTCAAATTTGGTATTTGAAGTTCGCAATGAATACTACAAAATATGACAGAAAATTGTATGTGCAGGTCCACTTCTTCGTATAGCCCCCATATAAGGGTACCTACCGCTATTCGGTATTTTGATGATTTTATGGACATTCTTCGCCGGAATTGTTTCAAATTTGGTATTTGAATTTCGTTATAGATACTACAGCCTAAGACAGAAAATTGTCTATGCAGGCCCACGTCTTCGTAGAGGCCCCATATAACTGTACCACCCGATATTCGGTATTTTCGGTATTTTAGGGATATTTTTCACCAGAATTGTTTCAAATTTGGTATTTGAAGTTCGTAATGGATATCACAGAAAATGAGCCATGTAGGTCCACGTCTTCGCATAGCCCCCATATTACGGTACCTTCCGGTATTAGGTATTTTCATTAATTTAGCGAATTTATTCACCGGAATTGTTTCAAATTTTGTATTTGAAGTTCGTAATGGATACTGCAGCCTCAGACAGAAAATTACCCAATAAGGTCTACGTCTTCGTATAGCCCCCATATTACGGTACCTCC